GTTAGACCAAACACTTACCTCAAGCCAACGGGTATTTCAAAGCCCAATCGTCTCTTTACCTCTCGATTCTACCACCAATTCACTCATATCTAGTCATAATTAACTTAATAACATCAATAAATGCTAACGAAATCAATTCTAATGCATAATTATAGGTTTTCTAATATTTTTTCCAAAAAGTCAAAATCCGACCCCGGGCCTGCTTGGTCCAAACTCGAAATTCAGATCAAAACCTGATTACCCATTCACCCGCGATCCAGATATACAATTGGTTTTGGAATTCGGCCTCAATTTGAGGTCTAAATCCCCAAATTTTGAAAGTCCTAAGTTCTACCCAAAAACACCTAATTCCACCATGAAAAACCCTAGATTTTGTGATAAAATCTTGTAAGAAGATGAAATAGATTAAAAGAAATAAGTTAGGAATCATTTACCTACGATTTGAAGAAGAAGTGGTCTTTGGAAAATCGCCTCTTGAAGTTTAGGGTTTAAAAATTTGAGAAATGAATCAAAAAATCCCGTCCAAAACTCGTTTTGAACAGTTGCAGGTATTGCATTTTCGAATACAGGTTCGCAATTGCGAACTCACAAATGCGGACATTACTTCGCAAATACGAAGCTTGGCCTGGCTTGCTGGCATCGCAAATGCGAACAAATGTTCGCAAATGCGGCCCATGTTCCAGTCGCAATTGCGACGATGAGCTTCGCATTTGCGAAGGTCCCCTTCCCAGCCTTCTGATCGCAAATGCGAAATACCTTCGCGAGCAAGCCAGAGCAAACCTGCAACATACCAGAAAATTTCCTTAAGTCCAAAATTATTCCGTAGCCTATCCAAAACTCACCCGAGCCCTCGGGGCTCCAACCCAAACATTCACACGGGTGTTAGAACATCATACAAACTTGCTCATGCGATCAAATCGCCAAAATAACACTTAGAACTATGAATTCAACACCAAAACACATGAAATTTTCAAGATAGTTTCAAACTTCCTATTTTCTCAACCAAAGGTCTGAATCACATCAAATCACTTCCATTTTTCACCAAATTTCACAGATAAGGCTTAAATATCATAACGGACCTGCATCGGGCTCCAGAACCAAAATACGGGCCCGATACTAGCAAGATCGAATCTTTTGAATTATTACATTTTCAGTTCTATCAATTTCTTCAAAAATTTATTTCTCGGGCTAGGGACCTCGGAATTCGATTCTGGGCATACGCTCAGGTCCCATATTTTACTACAGACCCTTCGGGACCGTCAGAACATGGGTCTGGATCTGTTTATCCAAAACGTTGACCGAAGTCAACATAAATTATCTTTTTAAGCCAAAAAATCATCATTTCTTAAATTTTTCACATAAGGACTTTTCAGATACACGTCCGGACTGCACATGTAAATCGAGGAGGGATAAAAGGAGGTTTTTAAGGCTTCAGAATATGAAATCAAATTCTAAAACAAAAGATGACCTTTTGGGTCATTACTAGAGTATTCTTGGGATATTTTTCACATAGTAAAGCTTATAAGATTTATAAAAAAAGAAATATGTGTGTAGAAGAAAGTGTACATGAAACTAACATTCTTTATAAGAGGCAGGAACAAGATGATGAAGAAATTGGGCTAGTAAGAAACTCAAGTGAAACCACAGTCCAACCTGAAGCTACACCACAAGAAGGAACAGGTTTGACTTGTTAGAATTAACTTGAAGCAATCGCAACAGCCTGTGGCTAGTTGCTACAAGGGTTAGAGGTAATCCTTAGGTTTACAAGAGGTTTGTAAATATTGTTGTTTTGGCTCAGAGTTCTCGTGAAGTTTTGGAAAAAAATCCTACTGGAAAGTAGGTCGGGATTTTTTTCACCTGTTGAGTTGGGTGTTTTTCAAGTAAAAATACTTGTGTTCTTCACTCGCTGCATTATTTATTCTGTAACAGTAGATTAAGGAACGCATAGAAGAACCATGTCCTTTTATAATCAGTGCACACGAAAAATTGGACACCACACAAATCATCCCCCCTCCCGTTGTGTGGTATTGAAGTATAAAATATCAATTGAACTATTAGATCGAAATAATCATAATTCACGTGAAAGCTAGTAAAGCATATCTTCAATGACGATAAATTGGACAACATAAAGAAATATCAAAAGAGACAAAAGAAATTAACGTGGTTCGGTCTATTGACCTACGTCTACAAATATAAATAAACAATCTGCTATATTAAAGAGAGTACAAAATATCGAAAAATCAAACAACCTTACAAAGTTCGCTCTTGAAGGGGTTAAAGAGGTTCACACAAATGACAAGATAACACTTGTCTCAAACCCCTTAACGACTACTAAGTGAGACATAAGTATCCTCAATTATATAAGTCTAAAATATTTTCCACTAAGAAAATAATAGTCAAATATGAAAATTTTATTATTTCCTTTTAAGAAAAAGAAAAATCAATTATGATAAGCATCCTGCAAAAAAAATTCATATATGATAAGAAATTTAAGGTAAACACCTAATATTGAATAGAAATTTTTTAACTACAATTGGGTAATTTGATTGGTAATTGGAATGGAATATGAAGAAGAAAACACAAAAGAGTAGGACGACGTACTTTTCAACAACAACAACAACAACAACGACCCAGTATAATCTCACAGGTGGGGTCTGGGGAGGGTAATATGTACGCAGACCTTACCCCTACCCCGAGGGGCAGAGAGGTTGTTTCCAGGAGACCCTCGGCTCAAGAAAATAACAAGAGACGATATATTAGTACGATCAATTGACTCATAATAAAATAACATAAACTACAAAATAACAGAAATATAAGAAATGTAGGAAATATAAAAATACTAAAAGATGAAAGGTGGAAGGTATAATAACATCCAGCCGATAAAGCTCTGCATCAGTAGCTGACCAGTAGCTTTCTAAGACTAACTCCTAACTGGCTAGTCTCACTCTAGTGCGCTGCAGAAATATTCACAACTTCCCCTAACCTACAACCTTAATGCTCGACCTCCACAATTTCTTATCAAGGGCCATGTCCTCAGTAATCCTAAGTCGCACCATGTCCTACCTAATCACCTCTCCCCAATATTTCTTAGGTCTCCTTCTACCTCTCCTTGTGCCCACCACAGCCAGTCGTTCACACCTCCTCACAGGTGCATCAGTGCTCCTCCTCTGAATGTGCCCGAACCATCTGAGTCTTGCTTCCCGCATCTTGTCCTCCATGGGGGTCACGCCCACCTTCTCTTGAATATCTTCATTCCTAATCTTATACATCCTTGTATGCCCGCATATCCACCTCAACATCCTCATCTCTGCTACTTTCATCTTCCGGATGTGTGAGTTCTTAACCGGCCACACTCGATCTGATACAACATGACAGGCCTAACCACTACTTTATAAAACCTATCTCTTAGTAACAGTGGCACTAAGAGGTACTTTTCATGGATATATTTTACTTTAAGTAGAATAGGACCATCGATAGGTCCCATTTTAAGTAGGCTGAAACATTTTATATTTTCAAAAGTTTTCTGAAAAAAATTACTATGAGAAAAATCTTGTTTCTAATAATTTTTGAAGCGGTTGGTTCAGATTGCAATCAACATGTTTTCTAATTCGTTATGTGATCTAATCCATCGAGTACACGGTACAGCTCCTCTTTGAACTGCATTTTCTCCATCACAATAATTGTGAAGTGACATCTAAACTAGTTATTGTTGGACAGTTTATTTGCAAAAAATGTATATATTGCCAAAATCACCTAACATATCGGGTCGAGTTATAATTATTCATGTTTACTTCTGCGGTAATATAATGAGATAGTTGAGCCTTATTGTTATTTGGCACACACCTTCTGTAGAGGATAAATTCTGGAATCGATCAGGGAAAGGAGCACCATGCCAGCAGCACAATAAATAAAATTGAAATAATTGAAATGAAGAACCCTAAAGATAAGGAGGGGGGGGGGGGGAATTGAAGTAAATAAGAGCATATAATTTTACAAAATAATCCGTATCCACGATTGCACCAAGTATTCTTCAAATATAAAAGTACAATGTTTTGTTCAGGGAAGCTATAATGAAAAAAAAAATGGTGGGATTAAACTCAAAGAACAAAGAGGTTAAGAAAATAGTTTAAGTCATGAGTTTCAGATATGACATGTCAACCTTTTTTTTGATGGGCGGATCTATATATAAAATTTGGGTGCTCAATCCCCCATTAACCTCAACTTAGAATAGGTATAGTTCTCAGAGGCGGATGTAGTGTAATGACTACGAGTTCAATTGAACCCATAACTTTCGACGCGAAGTAAAAATTTGAATGTAAAAATTACAAAAATAATAGATATGAACCCATAACTTTAAAAATATAATGGGTTCAATGTTAAAAACATTAAAATTGAACCCATAAAATTTAAATCCTGGATCCATCTCTGATAGGTCTATAAAAAATTCATTAAAACTGATATAAAAGATCAGAAAGTACCCGGAAAGAAAAACACTATTGGTGCTTTAGTTAAGGTAGAATGATGGAGAGTTTGGTTTTGTTAGTGGGCGAGAGTTCGAAACTCAATCCTAGCAAAAGTCCTTTTTTATAACCAGCTGGTAAACTATTCTTTTTTTCTTATATTCAAGCAACTTTCTTTCTTCTTCTTTTTTCTTAAAAGAAAAATGTTTCCCTCAATTAGGTAATTTTTTTTTTAATTCTTTCAAGTACTCTTTCTTAACCCAATACTACTTTTTTATATATTTTTTCGCTGACATTTGTTTTTGTTTTTTTTTTCTATAGCAAAGCAAAAGAATAAAGGGTATAGTGAAAATCGAAACGGAGTGAGGAGAGAAGAAGACAGCTGCGGATTACCAAAGAAGAGTAGAAAGGATAAGGAGCTGCGGAGAGCGGAAACATCGCTCAAGTTGTCTCGGCTGATCTATAGCTCACGGTTACGAGCCGTAAAATTAGTAATACTTATATAATATATTAGGGTAAATTGTCCGTATTACAATCTTAAAGCGTAATTCTTCTTCAAATCCTATGTAAACGCAAAATAATTTGTATACCGCACTTTTTTTTAGAAAGGATAAGGACCTCACCTCATAAAACAAGTATACAAACACGTATACTGCTGGGAAAACAAGAAAGCAAAAAAATTGTTTCTTTTAGCCAACCTGTTTGTTTTGGCGCTATTTATACATATCTCTATGTTGCCACTTTTCCCCATAAACCACCATTCTACAGCACCGTTTTCATAATCTTTTGCTTCACAAATATCCTCTTCTTTTTTCCTTTCCTTTCTAGCTTAGCTCTTTCCAACTTTCTTAAAGAAAACTAAAAACCTCTGCCATGGCAATCATCAAAATTCTCCACACTTTATTTGGGATTTTTGGTAGGAGTTTTCATTTCCATTCACTTCTGGTCTTTCCTTTTAAATTTCGCTTTACTTTTCTTGGATTTTGACTGTGGTTCATGACGTAATTAATTGCTTATTTTTCTTGTACTTGTTTCTTGGAACAGGCAATGTTACTGGTTTGTTTCTCTTTTTGGCCCCCATGTAAGCAGCCTTCTTGAAATTTTTCTTGTCATTTTTTCTTCTTATCATTTTACTTTTTAGGTAACATTTTATTAATTTTTAAATGAAAACGTTACCTCAAAAACGTAGTCGAAATGCATTCAAGTTGTGAAAAATTATTTTACTTAACTCTCTTTTTCTTTTCTTGATGGTGAAGGATTACATTTAAGAGGGTCATTATGAATAAATCAACAGAACAATTTTCAGGCATTCCATATGTAATGACTCTGCTCAACTGCTTACTCTCTACTTGGTAATTTTCTTGAATTAAGCTATCTCAATTATGTGTTTATTTTGTTCATTTTTTTCTTTTTGGGAATTTACTTACTTTTGACCTTGTAGGCTTTACTTCCTAGTTGAAACAAACTTCCCCTGTTGAATAGTCAAAAGCAGAGTTCTAGAAGAGGTGTGGGTATTAAATTTGTAAATTAGGATAGCCTTCATTTTGTCAATGGCTAAGGTTTAATGTAAAATATCATTAGTGAATTTCTTTCATATTCTTTAGAAAAGACTTAATTAATGCAAAACTCTTTTTTTTTTAAAAGGAAAAAAAATATGGATCCAGGATTTCAAGAGGATGGGTGCACTATTGTGAAGAGGTAGATCCGGTATTTACATTTGACGGGTTTAACTTTAGTCTCTTACCTTGAACCCACTACACTTTTGAAATTATAGGTTCAAAATTATATTCTTTTTGAAATTACTAATTTTCACATGTATATTTATACTCCGTGTCGAAAACAAGACCATCCGAAGTGGTATTTGAACTGTCAATTTTAGTTGTAATTATTGCACTATAAAAGTCCTTGAGCATGGGTGCATACACATATATGTTATTATACGTGGTTTAGAGAGAGGAGCATGTGTTCACGTGAACCCATAGCCTATGACCTAGATATGCCACTGTGTTTCACCTAAAGTGTCAAAGTATATATTTATCCTAGAAATCAGCTTGTTATTGTCCTTGAGATTTTATGAAGTAACATTTTAGTCATTGTGTGGGTTTTACTCTCTAAATTTTGTATCCACAAAAGAGAAAATTGATTAACACCAATACGGAGCTCTGAAATTTCTGATAATTGTGGACAATATTGGATTGTGGATATTCTCCTTTACAACATTGTTAATTCAAATATTTTGAGGATTATGATAAAACAGGTATGGTCTGCCATTTGTGTCACCAAACAACATACTGGTATCAATAATCAATGGCACAGGTGCAGGACTTGAGGCATTCTATGTGTTAACATTCCTCATATTTGCACCCAAGAGGGAGAAGGCAAAAATCTCTGGAATTCTATTTGTTGTCCTTTCTATATTCTCAACTGTGGCTTTGGTCTCCATGTTAGCTCTCCATGCCAATAAAAGGAAGATCTTTTGTGGTTTTGCTGCTGCAATTTTCTCTATCATTATGTATGGTTCTCCCTTGTCAATTATGGTATGTAATTTTTATCTTACTCCTCAACATATAGTGTGTCACTAAATAAATACAAACGCGTAAGTCTAAGAAATTATCATATAAATAGAAAACCGTAAAGAATGTGGTGGGAATCTTAACGAGAGAATTTATGTTCGAACCTTGAATATGGTAAATCGGTACTTATCTTGAATGCAGGGTAAGGCTACACATGATAAATCACTATGGTCCGACCCTTTTCCGGACCCTTGTATGATAGAATTAATTAGTACTTATCTTTGAATGCAGGATAAGGCTACGTATGATAGACCCTTCTGGTCCGGCCCTTTCTCGGACTCCTATACGATAGAATTAATTAGTATACTTATCTTGAATAGGTTTGCTTTTTAATTGAATAGACTAGTCATGTTGTCCTAATTAATCATTCGAAACTACTTTCATGGGAGTGCTTATCTTTTTTGGTTGGTTAAATAACTTGTCATGGAGTTTGTTCTAATTGATTTTTATCCTATTTTGGCAGAGGCTAGTGATAAAGACTAAAAGCGTGGAGTACATGCCATTCTTCTTGTCTCTCTTTGTTTTTCTCTGTGGTACATCATGGTTCGTCTATGGATTGCTTGGGAAAGACCCTTTCATTGCTGTAAGTATTATATAAGTAGTCTAATTAAAAACCTCTTCTATCATTTAATTGGCTCCATTTCCAATTATTAAGTTTAAATTATTTGATTTGTCGTAAACATTGCGATAAATTGTTTAGGTACCAAACGGGGTAGGAGGTTTGCTAGGAACAGCACAGCTGATATTGTATGCCATCTACAGAGACAACAAAGGAAAAGGCAAGAAAGGTGAGGAAGATAAAACTTCAGAAATGGAATTAGGGAAGCCCCAAGAGAATAAGGATCAACTACCTAACACCCTAAATGGAGATGCAAAAGCATGATATTTGGGATTAATTCAATCAAAAAACAAAATATAATTAATTCCAAACTTTATGATGCTCATTTTAATTTTTCCTAATTGGAAGGAGTAATCCTCAGCGAATCAAGTGTACTTGTAGTAACTTTAGCCATAACTAGCTACTATTTCCCTTATTGTCGTCAAAGTTATATAAGAGTATTATCAACTACTATATTTCTTTTGTACTTTAGATTTATGTAAAAAAATTCAAGTACAGTAAAATACAACCATCACAGTACTAGTAAAGTTGAAACGCAAACATCATTAAATAAAGTGGGAATAATAAGCTTGTGGATTTTAATTATGTGGTTCCCGCAAAATAGTTGAGTAGTTAAGATGCCACATTTGTATCACAATTATTTAAGCTTGAAGGGAATAGCCTTCTAATTTTTTTTATTTTTTTTTGGTTCTTTCCACTTTAAGTCTTTAACCATGTAAAAGAAAAATGATGATTTTGTATTTTTGAAGAAAACGAAAACTTTAATGATCATAAGTTGTTAGGAGTAACTTTAATGATCAGAAATTGTAACACTATTTGCACTCGAGTAATATATTCTATCCACAACGTTATGGAAAAGTTTGAAAACGGCGGTCTTTTCAAATGGAAACTTTTAAATTTTAAAAATACAAAATGACGAGAGAAAAAAAATTACAACTGCCTTCTAGTTGCAGACCGGATTGTAACAGCAAACAGTCACCGTTTATTAAACGAATCGTCTTTGTACATGTACTTCTGACGTATATATATGCATGAAATATGTTCTATAATTATATACGTACATTTATAGAAAAAAAAATCGTATCTATCCAAAATAGCAAAAATTACTAGTGAACATTCAACTCGTGACATCGCTGCTGTATCAATAATTTAATTAAACGGAAAAAGAGTCAAATATGTCCCTGTACTATCTAAAATTGTTTAAATATATTCTTCGTTATACTATTTTGTTATATAAGACCCTACCATTATACCATAAAACAAATATACCCTTATTTTTAAGGGTGTGTCACGTGGCTGCAATAGATTAAATTGACGTGGCTGCAATAGATTAAATTGACCCATTCCTTTTGTTTTTAACCCGGTTCACTTACAAAAATACTACCCGACCCAAAGTCCAACCCCATTGCTTCTCTCTCTCCTCTTTTCCTCATCTCTTCTCCTCACCTTACTGTTATGACATTGGCCGGAATCTCCACCGGCGAACTCGCCGTAAACCATGGGAAACCTTCAGATTTGTCACCTCACACCGTCTCTCTACCTTTCTCTATACCTATATACACATTTATATACGGATCTGGAGAAATACATAAAAGAGGCCAGAGATCTGAGTTTTGGGTCTAGATTTTACTGGATCTGACCGGAAATACATTTTTCCGGCGAGTCATTTGCTCTCCTTTTTCATATTTTCCTTTTATTTTACGGATCCGGAAGGGAGATGAAATAGATAGCTGAAACTCCGACCTTGGTGTTTGATCAGAATCTTGCCGAAGAATTTTCCGGCGACGTTTGTGCACATGTTCCCTCTGACCGTGCTCCATTTCTAACGCCTTTGTAGCAGCATCTCAGCCTTTGTTGGTTACGTCATTTTATAAAACCAAAAGTTTGGGCTGTAGTGTCAAAATTAATCTAATTGGTTTTGGGATTAGATTTTTGGAAATCTGCCAGCATCTTGATATCCAAACTTATTAAATTGCCGGAGAAATTGAAATCTTTTGTTATTGCCATGGTCTCATCACAATTTTTTTATTGCTTCACTTACTTTGTATGTTTTATTTTGATGCTTCTGTATCCATTTTTTACAGGTCCAGCGAACCTCCGATAATTTATGCACAATCATTTATTTCTTGTTTTTGTCACTGAACTTTGGGTCGGGTAGTATTTTTTATAAGTGAACCGGGTAAAAAACAAAAGGAATGGGTCAATTTAATCTATTGCAGCCATGTGGCACACCCTTAAAAATAAGGGCATATTTGTTTTATAGTATAACGGTAGGGTCTTATATAACCAAATAGTATAACGAAAGATATATTTAAATTATTTTTGATAGTACAAGTACATATTTGATCCTTTTCCGTTAATTAAATGATACTGAGAAACAAGCGGGTTATATATATCCTTGTAAAGTTGTGCTTTATCTGTGGTAATTCTAAAAGTATTTCTTCGTTAGTTGGAAAACGAATCTATGCGAGTCAAATTTTTTGAGAACATATCGAGTAGGAATTGAATTTGTTTAGATATGTGTTATGGGTAAATATAGTGTTCGATTTTTTTACAAGGTACAAAATATATCGGTAAATATCTGATATAATTTTACAACATCAAAGTAATGAACTCTAGCAAATTAAAAAGATCTTCTAGTTAATTAAATCGAGTCCACATATGTGTTAATTTTTCCCTTTGTTCCTTTCCAAAAAAAAAAAAAACTAAAATCAAAATAAGTTTGAATGATGTATATATCCAAGTATCGTGATTGTGTTACGCACAAGATGCCAAATAATTTGTACAAGTTGATATTTTCTCGGAACTTTAAAAAAAAAACAATTGCTCTCTCCGATTTTCCTATAAATGGTGAAAAAGATCACATGATTTTGTGACGAAGGAAACGTTGTCAGATTCCTACCTCCAGAATGAAACAAGTAATGCCGTGATTATCTGACGTACTGGAACTGATTCAAAATATTGTGCCATACCAGAAGCATTGGAATCTGAGTTTGTAGTAGTACATTTAAAATGCAAGATGTCACACGTTTTAAACTTAGAAACTCTTTCATTTAAAAATTATAAATTTATCCTTAATAATGTACTACTATAAAAATGATATGACATATCGATTGCACCAGGATTTTAAAAATACCTTAGATGTGTTATGTGTTACTGATTTTTTTTGTTTGTTTAACTTAGGGGTATACATAGGTCGGATTGGTCCGAGTTTTATAATTATGAAACCGAATTAATTGTGTCGGGTTATTAAATTTAAAGACCAAACTAAATCAATAAAACTCGGATTTTTCAATCTCGGTTTATCTCGAATTTTCGGGTTATTCGAATTTTTTCGGGGTTTTTTTCCGGTAAAATCTTCGTAGCACAAAACATATAAGTTGTGCTCAAAATATTTCTTTAATCCTAGTAAGATACAACTGTATAAGGTATTTTCCAAGAAAAAAATGCAAAAATATGAGATGTGTCATGGCATTATCCTAAAATATTCAAGCTAAAGAAAAAATAAAAATAGATTATGCATTTTTATCTAAATCATTTCAAAACAAAAAATAGATAATGAATGCATTGTCGTTCCTAGTATTGAATTGAATGTCTTTTGTTAGCGTTAGTATTGATTTGATTTTGATTTGAACTTTTGTTAGCACTATTAAGTTTCTAATATTAATGGTTTAAAAATTTATTAGAACATTCAATAGTTCTAAATCCAACGTTGAAATAATATTTTAAAAGATAAAATAATGAAAAGGTTTAATATATATATATATACATTCAATAGTTCTCAGTCCAACGTTGAAATAATATTTTAAAAGATAAAATAATGAAAAGGTTTAATATATATATTACATCACAATAATTATATTTATATATTAAATATATCTAAAAAATTTATATATGTAATGTCGAGTTGGTTTGGTTCCAGTTTGACTTTCTTTAGTTAAAATCAAACCAAACCAATTATGATCGAGTTCTTTTTTCCAACACTAAATTAAATCAAACCAAATCATAGTCGAATTTTTTTTTCTCGATTTAACTCAAATTATTGGGTTGGGTCAGTTTATCGGTTTCCTTTGTACCCCTAGTTTAACTCTATACCGGTCTATAGAATGAAACGGGAAAGTCTATAATTTAGGCTTGAGAAAAAGAAAAACAAAAGAATTTCTTGGCATACGTAGTCATCTCGTTGCTTATACTCATCAAGGAATGAAAGGTCTAGATTTATACACGTCTTTCCCTAAAAACACAAAGAGAGATCACCATCGTAGAGATAAAAGGTAGGGCACTATTTTGGAATTGATTAATTTCCGCAAAAACACATTTTGATTCACTAACTTTACCTAAAAAAGTTTCGAATCATTGAGGATTGCAAGTGCACAACTAAAAAGCTTAACTAACATGACAAATTAGACATGTTTTTAAGCCTGTTTCTGACACCTAGCTATGCTATAGAATGCAACTCGACAATATTATTATCATAACAACTAGCAATCATGCAACTCAAGAACAAAGTTAGTAGCATCTTCAAATCACAAACGTAACAAAACTATGCTTCCTTATTCCCAAGGTAAATTATGAAGGTTACACTAGTTTGCAATAATTAATTTGTGATCGTTAGCATTTTCCCTATAATGAGAGAGAAAATAAATCCTTAAATTGTAGTGGGATTGGGATAAATGTACGAAATCCGCTACTAGAAATCCGCTAAAAATCGATTAAAATTTTCCGACCAACGTTGGTCGATCAAAAAAAGCGATCAAAAATTGTCACGACCCGGATTACCCACCTTCTGAAGTTGTGATGGCACCTATTCGTGAAAGCTAGGCAAGCCAATTATTAGGGTTCTACACATTTAACACTCAACCCAAACAGATATAAGCCAAAAACTAAAGTTAAACAGATTATAAAAGCAGAAGAGTTATAACATGATCAAATAATCCAATACAAGTCTACCATCAGATCTGGTGTCACAACTTCACGAACATCTACGAGTTACTACAAATACTGATCTGAAAAGAAAGTACAACTGTTCTCGGAAAGAAAAGGAGACAACAGAAAGCTAAAACAGGGAAGGGGGGCTTCAGGCTCTACAGACGCCAATAAATCTACCTTGATCTCCCTGGACTGAAGGCAACTACCTCAACTACTCACCGGGTCTGGTACCGAAATCTGCACAAAAGAGTGCAGAGTGTAGTATCAGTACAACCGACCTCATGTACTGAGTAAGTGTTGAGCCTAACCTCGATGAAGTAGTGACGAGGTTAGGACACGACAATCATATATACCTGTGCAGATAAATCGTATACTGACAGAAATATAATAACAGAAATCAATAGAATAAAGTGGGAAGGGGACATGCTGCGGGTAATAACAGGTTCTAACAATAAGTCAATAAAGAAGCATCAATAAAGGAGCATAATGAGCATCATATTTAAATCCACACAATAATGAAACGGTAACACGTGCACGGCATCACCCTTCGTGATGTTACTCTCGTCCTCATCATATGAAATATCATAAACGGCACGGC